GTAATGACGTATGAAAAAAAAAAAAAAAATTATTTATTATATTTATTTTAAATTATATTATTTTTGATTTTATGTGATAAAAAATTTCTTGGTAATTTCGCGATTATTTTGTTTTGATTACTTTTCATTGTTTTAATGCATAATTTAATGCTAAAAATGGAACATGACTTCTGAAAAAATCAAAATTTTCTTCTTTCTTTTTTCAATAAGAAAATTCCGAGTAAATCTTAAGATATTTATATAAATAATTGGTAATCAAATGATTTTGACCAATAAAGAAAATTGTTTATAACCGAAAATTAAATTTATTGCATTTTTTTTTTAAACTTTAACACGAAAAATTTATTACTGTTTCGAGATAAAAAGTTTCAAGTTACATATTCATAAAATATTGTAACCGCAATTAATTTTTTCCTTTGTTTCAAACCATTCACAACTATTGATCTTACTTTATTTAGCAGATTACAAATTTATTGGCGTTCCTAATATTAAAAGAAACTTTATTTTTGTACTACATTTCGGAAAAGCAAAAAACATTAACGCAGTAGATATAATCGCAGTAACGCAGTTGTGAAACAAAATTTAAGCGGTAAAAACAAAGCGCAGTAAAAAAAACGCAGCTGACGCAGTAATTTAAACGGTAAATCGGTAAATACGCAGTAAGATATATAATAATATTTAAATACTCACTCATGTTGGCATTTTTTTTTTCATCATTTCCAAAGTTCAGAAATGATTACATTAGAAACAGAATTATATATTTCTCAATTGCAACGATGGCCAAAAGAAGGTCGTCATATTATGGGGCAATTTGATGATAATTCAATTATTGTTTACCAAGCTTATAACCCTTCCATAGCAAATTATGCTGTTAAACATCAAAAATTTGGTGGACAGGATTTTTCTTGGACTGTAAATATTAAATATTTATAAATAACTTTAAAATAATTATATTATATATTTTAATTATTCTTTTTTTTTTAATTAGAGAATGTCATGGATTAAACCTAATTTTACCTGGATGATGTACAGATCCGGTTGGGCTACTAAAAATAATCAAGAAAGAGTAATTATATATATATATTTTAATTTATTTATAAATATAATAAAAAATTAATATATCCTTTTATCTTAGATCTTGGCAATAAAATTATCAAGACAAGGATTTGAAGAGATTATATCAAAAGCAGTACCAACAAATTTCAATTCCTTCTCACCAATTTCACGAGAAGAATGGCAAGAGAAATTAAAATCATCAGAAGTAAGAGTACAATGGGATCCTGATCATAATTTACTTGGAAAAAAAATTCAAAGAAGGGCCATTCAACTTGGTATGAAAGGTGATATATTAAAAAAATATTCTGACGAATATATTATTAGTATAGAAGATATAACAGAATTTGTTAATGAACAATATGAATTAATTAAAATGAATAAGTTGGATCAAGTTATGACTCCTGTTGAACAAATATATGACCTTGCTGATAAAGTTTATGAGTAGAATATCAATAAAGAGTGAACACAGATTCAGTAAGTTTTATGAATAGATAAAAATATAAAAATACAATTTATTGGTATCACTTGTCATGTGATATTTAGTGTTTATACCGAAAGGCCTAGAATTATTCCGATTTAAACTTATATAAAGTTTGCGTTACATTAAAATAAATAATGTTTTTTTTTGGTTTAGTTCCGGTTTGAACTTTCCTTTTTGATCAAAAATATCACTCTTGTCATATATTACTGCGTCTTTTCTATGCGTAATATAACACAAACGAAGGAATTTCGGGATTATTCGGAATTTATAATCAACTCTTTCCCTATTTCATTAAATCTTAATTTATCGCATCATATACTTTAAAAAAATACTTAATACGTTTTATTATAATATCAAAATATTTATAGACTATCAATCATCAATAATCGATTATTACACTTATCCATTTTTATCAATTCCGACATTTACTATTCGTTAAAATATTGTTACATACTTTTAAATTTTGATTCGTACAATATTAAGTTGTCCGAAATTGCTTATTTTATTTATTGTTATTATTATTATTATTATTTAAATCCTTTTCATTAAAACAAATAATTAATTCGTTCTATCATCCCTTTAATTACATTTCTTTTATCCGTGATTTATTCCCTTTTGATTTGTTTCTCATAAGGTTTTCCCTTTTATATCCAAAAATGACCTTTTATTTTGTGAATTATCTCTATTTTGTGAATTATGAATTGTGTAATCTTTATTAATCATTTTTTTAATCTTTTAATCATTTTTCATATATCCTTGGGATTTAAAGTTGTTCTAACCTTTTAAGGAACCTTATAAAATGAACATAAATCAACTTTAATTCTGTGTCATGTTTCTTTTTGGAACTTTCTTAAAATAAATTTATTGGAATTGGTCCTTCCAAAATTCCAATTCTTTTTAATATTTAAATACATATTATATACATTTTATGTTCTTATCAATCTTGTTCCAATAATTATATACCGGGATCATAAATTGAAAAAATCGGGGGTTTCCAACTTATCTTGAAATCAAATCATTATCGTTATTTATAGTACAAAGAAAAAAAAATAAAATTAAAGTTAATTGATAACATGTAGTCTTACAAAGAAAAGAAGAATCACAATGTGAGATGTGACAAATAAATAACAATAAATGCTAATTAATCGGTTCGACATACTAGTTAAATCGGTAAATCGGTTAAGCATACTACAGTATACTAACACTTATTTATTTACTGTAGGGTACATTATCCCTTCAACAGCATATAATATTATTAAATGTTAAGACACATAATTCGTTGTTTAAAGCGCATAATTCGTTGTTAATGAATCCGAATTGATCTTTTGTACTTTTCACCATAAAAGATTAGTTTCTTATATTGTTTCTTTTTAATTATATTTATTCAGGTCCATTAAGGAATAATTTTATCTGCAACTTATTATTCGTTATTTTACACGAATCAAAGAATTTTTTACGAAAACTTGAAAGGGTTTGAAAGAGTTCGAATTATCAAATGTTCATATTAAAGAAGTACTAAATCTTTTGAATATTTCGGATATTTAAATATCCTTCCAGCACTAGATCTTCTTAATATTTCGGATATTTGAATATTCTTCAAACATTAAATCTTCTGAATATTTCGGATATTTAAACATTCTTCGGACATTAAGTCTTCTTCAGAATCTTTTTTTCCTATATACAGTATGGGATATAAAGTATAGTGAGATCAAAGGTTTATAATTTGTTCATACTCAAAATTTTTAAATTTTCTATTAGAAAATTTAAATCATGTATTTAGTCGACCGATTTATTTAATCATATATTCTACTAGTCAGACTTCTATATACCGATAATTTCCGATAAATATTAAGAGCTCGAGATAACGATAAAATTCATTATAATGAGAATCATATAATGATATTTTTATTAAAGTTCTCACATGAATCTCGGACATATCGTTATATCGTAGTTATCTTGGTTATAGGATGATACCAGAAAGAAATTTGGGTAAATTAAATAAATTTATACCTAAAAGACTTGAATAAATGAGTTATCTGTTATATCGTTATATGAAAATATATAAATATTTAGAATTAGTAAAAAAATCCTAATATTAGCCAAAATTTGGTTGAAGCTTTGTGTTCAAGTTTATACATGTTAATTTTGGATCTAATGTAATTCGTGTGAAGTTTATACATTATACATGTCAATTTCGGATATAATGTAATTTCATGGGGAGTTCATCAATTTCGGATACAATGTAATTTCGTGGTAAGTTATGTAAAGTTCTAATATTGACCTATTAACAAGTTCATGTCCATTCCCTTGGACTGTCCTAGGAATGTCCTATTCTGTCCGTCTATGGACATGTCCTTGTCCCAATCCCAAATCTGAAGTTAACCTCACTTGTCTTGATAATAATAATGCTTCCCGAGAAATATTTTCCCGTTACGTGCTTTCAAATCTTTTCAAGTCCTTTTAAATCATGAAAATGATCATCAGAAAAAAATATACGATGTTGACGAAAAATTATAAATGATGACGTTATCTTTTATAATTATACTAAGATCTACTACTTAATTTATTTGACATCCAAATTTGGAAACTATCATATTTTCCATAATTATAATTTTCTAAATTTGATTATTTAAAACGAAAATGTTAAACTACTAAATATATAATATAAATTATGTACATGTTTGATTTCAACATGAATAAAAATTTAAACCAAAGCATTAACGGTATTAACGATAATTGGATCACAAAAATAGACCCGCGGTTGCCCTTGTTTGTTTTAACCAAAAATGTACACAACACATGCACACATCTAATAATTGTCCTACCACATTTGAAACTTTGAAAGGATGAATACGATACGTAATTGCTTTGTTCATTGTATTCTTCTTTATAAAAATAATGTTGTTTTCCAGAAGTTTTAAAAGGTCCCTTTCCCTTTTTTTTGTTGTTTCTAATTAGTGTTTCACAACCTTTTGACACAACAATATTGTTCTTCTTGAATCTTGTTATACATATTATTGTCCTAATATGGTATTAAAATCAATTAAAAAAAAAAAAATCATTATAAATATGTTGAATTATGATTGTTTTTCCCTTCAGGCTGGACCGCATTCCTCTATCTCTCTATCTTTTTTTTTTCTTTTTTGTTATTTCATTCTTTTTTTTAAAAAAAATTTTATTATTTTAGATATATAATAATTATTATTATAATTTGACTAAAAAAAAAAAAAAATGCCACTTAGAACTATAGTACCATTACCTCTTAATAAAAAAAAATCGCCGCCTGGTGCGTCATCAAGATCATCAAGACAATTAGAAGAAGGATCAGAGAAGGAAGATATAGGAACGGATTTTGCCTCACCACAATTACCACCTAGAAAGATTAAACCATACGTTGGATTGAGAAGCAAACTTTCTTTGTCATGGGTAAATTATACAGTAATAGCATTAATGTTTATAATATTAAGATTATTTATTGCTATGAATTCAATTGAACCGATAATTGATCAAGTTAAAGAAAAAGCAAATAGATCATGTGATGCACTTGAAGTTGCATCTTCAACTGTAACTTCTTTACCACATTTTATGGCAGGTGGATTTAATCGAGCAACAATTGATGGTGTTAATCTTACAATTAAAGGAGCTGCAAGAATGATAGATTTATTAATCGTTGCAATGGATGGTATTATAATTTGGTTAATACATGTTTATACTCGTACATATCAGTGTCTCTTGGAATTTGCTATAAGAGGATCAATCGGAACTTTGACAGCATCTATTCAAGCAATAGGAGATGCTACAAACGGTCAGCTTAATGGAATTAAGACACAAATAGATTCTCAACTTTCAGGAGTAAATTCAGCTATAAATAAAGCACGTGAATTTATTGATAAAATACCCAATAATCCTTTTAAACCTTCTTTGCCAGATACAGTTACGATATCATTAGATTTTTTAAATAATTTTCAATTACCAACAACCGATATTAATAATGGTCTTAATACGTTAAATGGAAATATTCCTACAATGAGCGAAATTGAATCAAAAGTTTCAGGTTTAATCTCTATACCATTTCAAGAATTAAGAGGAACTGTTAGTGGTATTATGTCAAATGTAAAATTTAATGAAACTGCTTTACCAGTACCACCAAAGAATCAAATTAATTTTTGCGCGGAAAATTTGGATCTTAGCATTCTTGATGACATTTCACGTGATCTCATTAAAGCAGCTCGTATTGGTCTTGGAATTATTTTTGTAGTAGTGTTATTAATGATTGTGGCTAATGCATTAGTAATTTGGTATACTCATATAAGATATAAATTGCATATCAGTCGAACGACCAAAACTGTAAAATTAATTAATTTAAAATCAGACAAAGATTCAGTAATCGAAGTGATCAAAATAGCCGAACATCCTTTTATCATGAGGTGGATTATAAAAGCTTCAAAATTATTTAAGAATCGGGAAAATGGTGATTTATTCAGATGGTTTTGTGATTATATTTTACATAAACCCGCGTTAATCTGTTTAATTATTGGTATGTCAGGTATAATAGGAATTTATTTACAATTAGCTGTTCTTCATGCGGTTAAAAATAATTATAAACAACCAATCGCTGATGCTGTAAGTAATTTTGGTAATTCCGTTGGAAATTTAATTAATTCTCAATTATCTTCAACATCAAATCAATTTGCATCCGATAGTAACAATGTAATTGGGTTACTAGAAAATGATTTAAACCAGGATTTACTTTCATGGGTTAACGTTACAACCACCACATTAAATAATACATTAAATACTGCTGTAGATGAAATTACTACCTTTGTTCAAAATACCTTTAAAGATGTACCAGTATTAATACCAATTGTGCAACAATTAGTTGATTGTCTAATTTTGACAAAAGTTGAAGGAATTCAAGCGGGATTAACTTTTATTCAGAACAATGCTTTTATTGGATTACCTCGTGTAAATAATTCTCTTTTATTACTTAGTAAGGATAATATGGATGATGTTGTTGGTCAAGTTACAACTAATCTTGTTGGTTCTCCTCTTTCTGAAAATGGTAATGGTAATGGTGAAATTGGGGGTGAAATTGGTAAAATATTTGATACTTATGAGAAAAATTTACGTGCTGAATTACCATTATTTTATGTATTAACATCCGTATGGTTTATTGTAATATTAATGGGAATAATTCGTGTATTGTGGTTCATATATCAAAGAAGGAAAAATGCTAGATCGATGATTAATGATATTACACATAATTCGGATTCACCCACCGCTTCTGCTCAACCTTCTCAATTTAGTAAAAGTATTAAAGAAGATGATGAAAACAAATTTAATACTTTACGTTCAAAGATGAATGCTCTAAAAAATAATCGTTTCTCACAAAAAAATATTGTAAATCCAACTTTTCCGAGAAGTTATAGTCCACCTCAACCGGATGATAATGAAACATATGATGATTATAATGATTCTTTAACTGATGGTCAATATCATGTTAAACCAACATTACCTCCTAAACCATTACCACTTAAAAGACATGATATCAGAGATAAAAATCCTTTTGAATCAAACAATTATTAAATAGGTTTGGTATTATATAATAGTTCTAATTAGTGGCATTTTTTTTTATATATATACAAAAAAAAAAAAAAAAAAAAAAAAAAAGTATATATATATATAT